CCCTGGCCACGAACAGACACCGCCCCCCAGCCAATGGAAACACATCCGCCCACCAAGATCAGCCAATAAGAGAAACGGATGGGTGGAGACAAGCGCCGGGAAAAACAAACAGGCTTCTCAAGGACCCTTCGGGCAGGAGGAACTGAAGCCCCCATTCAGGCATCCCCAGGGGGTCTCACCTCCTTAGAACTGTCTGGAGCTAACTTGAAAAAGAGACAAACACCTTTATTAATCAGTGCTTTGCACTCAGGAAGAGTTCAGCCAATCGCCACCGCGAGGGGGCGGGGTTAGCTGTGTCCCCAGCAGGTTCTGGAATTCTTGGTGCCTGGGCCAGGTTCTGGGTGCGAAGTTCTTGCGCGCGTTTGGACTCCAAGAGCAGATGGTGGCTGCACCTGCCCACTCACCAGCTGCAGCAACAATCTCTGACGTTCCCAGCAGCAAAAGGGAAAGATTGCAGAGGGCGTGGGAGAGGCTAAGTATAGGGAGGAGAACACCTAGCTGCCTACAAGAACTCGTGCGGCAGAGAAGGAAAGAGAAATGGAGGAAATAGTTTTGTTGTTGTGCTTCAACGCTTTTACTTACTCTAGATATAAATCTCAGTAGAACATGGTGGGTATTGGCACTAGGATCAAGCAGACCCCTGGTTCAAATCCCTTATCTGTCATTTCTTGTTTCATAATGTTTGATGATTTACTTGCGGGTATAAATCTGAAGCCTCCTCAACTGCAAAATAGGGATAATACTGTAGTCCCAGCTACTTTGGGGGCTGAGGCAAGAGAATCGTTGAAGCCCAAGAGTTGGAGGTTGCTGTGAACTGTGATGCCACAGCACTCCACCCAGGGCGACAGCTTGAGGCTCTGTCTCAAAAAAAAAAAAAAGGATAATAATACTGTAGAGTCGTAAGGATTAAGTGAGAATGCAATCATGTTAGTGCTGGGCTATGCAGTCTGTAAGTGCTTTATGAATGGTGGATCTTGCTGTTTGGTGGGATTTTTCTTATTCAGGATAGCAGGAAATCTTAGGCAAGCCTCTTTAAAATATTTCAATAATAGCCTTAGGAATGGAAAAAAGAGAAACTGTACTTTATTCATAAATGGAACCAAAAGAGGGCATCCAAAGAGATCTGGAAAGCTGGAAAGAACCGCCTCTAAAAGTCATCCTGAAATGTGTCCTTTAGGGGAGGAGATATACATGAACAAGGTATAAGTTTGTCAGTAGTTGTGTTTCTAAATGAGCTTAATTCCCAGGGGTTTACCTATGACCAGTTTTTAATTGGGCCAAATTAGAAGATGATAGACTAGTTCAGGAGTGTTAAATCAGTCCCAGCATAAATAAAGTCGGTTTTGTTTGAGAGACTACACAGTAGAAACCTGCTAGCAAGAAGACAGAGGGAAAGATGAGAGACAAGATCAATACTGATGCCCTTCATTCTTCCCCATTTGTTGCTTACTTTACCACAACCTTTTACAAATTCAACCCTTGCCTTTTAACTAATGACCCATTTACTTCTTTGCCCACCTTTCTCCCCAGGTTTTCAAAATTAAGGAGCAAAATGTCCATAAGAAAGCTTCAAGCATATTCTTGAAGAAAGAGGATGTGTGAATACCCTTGTTATTGTAGAAGACAGTTGCCTACTGTGAGTTTTAGCTGTTGGAAAAGTCAGTAAATCCAAGGATACCGCTATTATTTAAACTATTGTCAGCATCAGAAGGTGAAATTCTAATCATTATTGACTCATGCTTAGGTTTTGTGTCAAGAGGAATATAATAAATGGAAATGTCAAAGAAGTTAGGATTTTTTGTTATTGAAATAGTAGTCAGGGTTCCTTGGTTCTAGTACACATCTCACATCTAGCTGTATGACCTTGGCCATATGTTCAACTTCCCTGACCTCTCAGTGTCCTCAAGTATAATATGAAGAACCTGGATGTGCTTCCTCTTAAAATACATGGAGCTTTAAAGAAAATCATTAAGATTGTTATGTTCCAGAAAATACCCCATTTGAATATGAATATCTCCATCTCTGCGTCTGTGGTTGATACTCTGAAACAGATCATGTTTTGTTCTTGTTAATGACTATTAGAGTGATTAGTATTTCTATACTGAAATAGTCCATAGCCTTGCTGTTGGATATGTGGTTCTCCTATCAATAGCACTAGCACCACTTTGAAATGGTTAGAACCGCAGAATCTTAAATCCTACCCCATTATCTACTGAATCGGAATCTTCATTGTAACAAGATTCCGGAGTGATTGACAAGCACACAAAACTTGGGAGCACTGGTCCTTTAACACTGTTTTTGCCACATGCTTGCCCCCAGTAAGAATTTCACTGGATATTCTATTAGAAGGAGGACACTAAAAGGCCTGGCTAATCTTTGGTAAATTATTATTTTCATGAGTCCTAGGAATCCCCTTCTCATCACCACACAAAGTAACTCTTCCCAATAAAGTATGAAACAATTAATTACTTTAATTAGATAGTTTTTTAAAAAAGATTTGAAAATTTGATTATGTTAATAGTCATAAATTTTTATATAATTAAGGGCATTCTTTTACCCACACACCCAGGGGACTGGAAGAGGGGGTTTTCCAGTCCTGGGGGGGAAAATGTGAAAGTGTGAGCTCTGGCCATTTGTATAAATGATGTCATGTTTGTGTACAAAAAAATAGATAATGTTCTAATTTTAATTAGTCTTTTCTTGTAATAGATGCTATTAATAAATTAATTTTAATATATCAAGTCTAAGTGATTGTGAGATCTTTCAGTGTTTTATAAAAATATGACATGTCAAACTGTTATAGATGTGTTATTGTACAAAAATTAATTTCTAAAACTTTCAATAATTCGAAGAATACAATGAAATATCCTCTCATAGATTTAGGGTTGTTATTGTCCACATATATCATTTGTGTGTCAGAAAATGTAAATTAATTGACCTGCTAATTGCCAAAAGATGACATCTATTCATGTGACCCTATGTGAAATAATATTAAATATCAAACCTGTTTGGGAAATTTCCTTTACCTTCCTTATAATTAAGGCCTGTAATCTCTTTTGCTTCATGGCAAAATATTTTAAATAATTAATTTTGGGCTCGGTGCCTGTGGCTCAAGTGGCTAAGGCGCCAGCCACATACACCTAAGGTGGCGGGTTCGAATCCACCCCGGACCCACCAAACAACAATGATGGCTGCAACCAAAAAATAGCCTGGGCGTTGTGGCGGGCACCTGTGGTCCTAGCTACTTGGGAGGCTGAGGCAGGAGACTCGCTCAAGCCCAGGAGTTGGAGGTTGCTGTGATGCTGTGATACCAGGCACTCTACCCAGGGGGAGAGCTTGAGGCTCTGTCTCAAAAAAAAAAAAAAAAATTAATTTTATATTTTGAAAGAACTATAAAATGGGAAGAACTCTAGACTTTAAATCCTCATTCATTTAGTATATATTTTCCTATAAAATGATAGATCATAATTTTTTTTCCTGTCTTGAATATGATGGTGCTGTTCCTTTTTTTTTTTTTTTTTTGCAGTTTTCGGCTGGGGCTAGGTTTGAACCCGCCACCTCCTCCAGTATATGGGACCAGCACCCTACTCCTTTGAGCTACAGGTGCTGCCTTCAATGGGGCTCTTCATTTATATTATCATAGGATGATGTGATAATCTCTTCTCTCAATAGTACTGTAGATATTAGGGTTCTTTTAAGGTGTTTACCACAGAGGAGACCAAACTTAGCTTACACTTCATGATTATTTCTACTGTCGTTGAAACAATCGAAATTTATCATGATTGCAATATTTACGCCTTTTTTTCCCTACTGGGAGCAAAGTAAATTGTTTTTAGAATATTAATTGTGACCAAAATATTTAAATGAAAATGAGGAAACTACTAAATGTCCCTTTTATCTCTATAGATTAATTTTGTGGGATTTCCATGGTTAGAACATTTATATCATTTATATTTTTCTTTTAAAATATTAAGTTTAGGTGAAATATATAAACATTTAAAATATACTGTTACACATATTATAGATCTCCAGGACTAAAAATCTAGAAATCCATGCTAATTTGACTCTGATAACAAATTGACCTATAAAAAGAAATTTCACGGCTTGGTGAAAATGTACACCATTGTGAAAGAAAATAAGCTTATTGAATATTAGAAACATTGATTGTCATTCTGCTTGCTCACTAGCATTTTTAGTATGAGGTGAGCTACCTGTGTTGCAGAGATGTTAAGAATTCATAGGTATAGTCTATAGAATATATAGCAAAATATGTGGTATATTGGATTATTAATATGTATGTCATTTATGTGTTGTTTATATGTTACATGTGATAGTTTATATCAGTATTTAAATGCATTTTAACTTAGCATTTTGCTACTGTTTACAAAGCCTTCAGTGTCCAGCTTCAGGATTGTGACCTATTATTTTACCTCACCTCACTCCAAATGTCTCATGGCTAGAATTTTAACTTAGGTGGATGATAGTATAGAAAAGTAAAGAAAAGAAATTCACAGATATATATTGATAGAAAGTTACAATCTCAAGGTAAACTATTTCTGCCCTTTCTATATAGGTACATCAAGTAGCAATATGATCAATATCTCCACATTCTCTCATGTTCATTTTAAAATTTTCAGTCACAATATACAGAGTAAAAATGACCTCATGATCGTAAGTAATGTAATTTCTAGGTGCACAATGATTCAATCTAAATGATCT